GAGAAGTTAGCAACCCAAGTACTTTCATCATGAAAAATGCAAACCTAACTAAACCTAATACAAATAGGTTGCCTCCTCTTTGTGCAAAATTCTAAAATCCACTTAAGATGGGATAATTTGTAGTAATTGTCTAATAGAAACCTGGCTTAAACAAGCCAATCAATCCATCCCCTTTCCTCATGATCCCACTGAAAAGAAAATGCTTTGTGTTCCTTTTGGCTGTATCTTATGTGGAGGACAAGGGTAGTGTGGTAGTTAAGGCTGTGTGTCAATTTCACTGGACTGTTTTTGAGTGGCTCGCCAGCTGGATGTAGTTATTCCCCATGATGAGATTATAATCACCTCCATAGCGGAGTCTGCTGTGAGCACCGGAACAGTCGAAAGGGAGTTGCCTTCAGGGTTGGCCTGCTTCCAGTATATATGGCAAAGCTTTGAAAAAGGTCTCCAGCTTTCTGGGACATTTGGACTTGAACTAGTTAGTGGCCTGCTATGCTGCCTGCCAATCTTGGGACTGTTTCTGAACTTGAACCAGTGGCATGCCGTGTTGCCTGCTGATATTGGGATTGTGCCAGTTACCTATCTTGGTTCGTCAGCCTCAGCAGCCAGCTGCTGCATGAGGTAAAAGAAGCCTCCAGCTCCACTGGGCCTGGGACAAGAGGTGGAGCTAAAGCCCAAGGTTGAGGGGCCTTCACCCAGTCCCTAGAGATGGCACTCTGAAATTGGACTTGTGGTCTCCTAAATTTTAAGAGAATAAATTCCTGTTTGTTAAAGCCATCCACCTGTGGTACTTCTGTTATAGTAGCACTAGAGAATCAAGACAGGTACCCTACAGAAAAGAATCCTTATTCTCTTCCTGACTCATGCTTGGGACTCTGCCTTGCCTGGACAGCTGGGAGCATGGTGGGTCAATGTACCCTTGGCCATTTTGGAATCCCTTAAGACATTCATATTCACGATGAAAACACTCAATGGACTCACAAATGGGAATTACTGGAGAGAAAAAGGATGAAAAGAGGTTTACATTTTGGGTATAACCCCACAAAAGAGAATCCCAGAGCAGGGTTCTCATTTGTAAGAGCTTTTGTACCATGGTGAGGAGTTGCTGATTTAGAACATACTATTAGAAACCTCTGGTAGCATAGTGGCTACCAGATGGCTGGCGGTTCAAACTCATCAGCCACTCCTTGGAAGGAAGGTTGGGCAATCCTACTTCTGTAGTGATACTGCCTTGGAAACCCAAGGAGGGGTCGCTATGAGTCAGGGCTGACTCAACGGCACATAACAACAACAACGTTAGAAACCTAACACTACGGAACAAATAACTGATGATATTGCCAATGCCATGGCTGCCCAAAAAAAACACTAAACTCATCAGCAAATTTGGTAATTGACAATAGGATCACTTTATACTACCTTCTTGCCCAGCAAGGCAGCATTTGCACCATTGCCAATACTTCTTGCTGTACCTTGATAAATAAAATTCACCAAGAGGCTACCTGGCTACATGTACTCAAACAGGAATACTGGAACCCTTTTCATGATGTATTCAGCTGGTTGCCTAATAGACTAGGTCCTAGATAAGATCTGTTTTGCTTAGTGGGATTATTTTAATGGTCATTGTCATAATTGGAACAATTAAATGTTGTATGAAGGTTACCACTAATGCTTTGACCTAGAGAAACAACTTGATGCCCATGCATAGGTTAATGCATGTGGAAGCTATTAGCATTCCCAAATTGGAAGAACCAAAGATTCAGTTTCTCATTCGACATGGTCACTGTTTCCAAGAACAAGTCACCTTTCTATTCATCCTCAAAGATGACAGGTATAGCATGGTGAAGAAAACTGAAGCTGCCCAATGGCCAGGAAACCCTTGCAGATGATGTTATTCCTTTGTGGGCGGCATGAGTTATCTTGCCCTGAAGATGAGAACTCCCCTACAGTAAGGTAAAAATACTTAGTGGTGCCCAGCTAAATCTATCATGTGCCATCTAGGATCCTAAATGCTTGCCAGTTCAAGCAGCCACTAGAGTCAAGCCCACACAGAAGAAACTGATTCTTACATTGATCAGAGGATGTTCAAAGAAATCCCTGGTCAAGAGGAGGAAATTGTAAGAGAGAAATTTTCCTGAACCTTTGACGAAAGTAAAATACCTAACTAAATCCATATTTCTGCTACATTCAGCAGAATTAATATTGAAGCTAACAATACCTACTCTTTAGGCTTATTGTTTGGCTAGCAACCATGGGTAGCTACAGAAATATTTTCTCTGCATTCAAGATGAAAGAATGTCTATAAACTATTTCTCAAGGTATACCAGTACTTCTTTCTACCAGATGGCCTCAAGAAATTTTTCTTCCATGATAAAGATGTAGTAATGATGTCTCAGGAAAAAGACTTTGGCACCACTCTTGAGTTTCCCTGGCAATGACTTACAAGAAAGGTTTCACTTGAGCAAGCTGTTTCTAAAAGAGAAATGTCCTGTAACCAGCCCCTTCCCAAGCCCTACCTTATGTTGATCTAAGTTTGTAACTTCCAATCAAATGATGTAACTTAGGTTCTTTCACACATTCCCCATTTGAATGGATCCTTAAAGCTGAATAAAGCCTCTGAATGTCGTTTTAAGGCTTGAGTGGTTTCTCACTACGATGATGTCAGCTTACTGTACAGTGAAATTATTTTAAATCAGGACTCTTTTGTGGAATATACTGCTTGATGGCAATAAAAACAAAACCACCACCTTGGAATATTACTATACATAATACTCAAACACATAAGACAGTTTGTTCTTAGCCTAGATATAAAGCACCTAAAGACAACTTACAATGTACTCAAATATGAGGTACATAATGATACCAAAACCAAACTCGCTACCATTGAGTCAATTCGATTCATTGCAACCCCTCCTTGGGTTTCCGAGGCAGTATCTCTACGGAAGTAGATTGCCCAATCTTCCTTCTGAGTAGCGGCTGGTGGGTTTGAACCACCAGCCTTCTGGTTAGCAGTCAGATGCCTTAGGCCATATGCCACCAGAGCTCCCAGTAAATAATGACAGAATACCCGTATTTCCTTAAACACCTTAAGCGCAGTATTCTGCATTACTATTTGTCTGAAATGGTACAAATTGTATCCAAATACTGAATATATATTTAACAAACAGAATGGAAAAAAATTCTCCTTTGGTTTCCATTCCTCATTCCCATTACTCTAATTTGCTTCAAACAACTCCTATTTATTTAATGGATAACATGTGAAAACAAGGTCTGCTGACAACAGGGTTAACAGAGCTCACAGGCACTGGGTAAGTGGACCTTGGACTCTGAAGTTCCACTTTCTGCTGGCAATCAGTCCTTCTTCTATTCTGGTTTAAATCCGGAGGTCAGTGAGGATAAAGTACTACTCCCTAGCTACAGACCATGTGAATAGGGAGGAAAAAAAAAAAAAAAAAAATGGTTTTCTTTAAAAAAAAAGCATGGAAGCCCAGCCTGTAGCTGTGTATCCCATCCGTGATGTCTGAAGCAGTCTTGTCCATCAGCAGTTTCCCTAGCCTTCTTGTTTGGGGCACTATGGCCACAGTTACCACAGAGGCTTCCTGGAGAGCAAAAAGCTTAAGGAAGGGGAGGTGTAACAGATTTGCATTCTGCCAACTGTGATAAACACATATGGTGTGGACAGTTATAAAAATGGTTAGCGCCTACTTGCTTGCAGTGTTGCAGGCTGCTTAAGAATGCTTTTTATTGAGATCCTGCTGGTCTGGGAGTAGTATGGAATGAGGAAGTATGCTTTAGCAGTGACAAGAATGACCCTCTTATACCACATGGCCAAAGAACAACTCCCCAGGGATCACATGACCTGCAGTTTTGTGCCAGTGCATATATAAACAAATATATTATATACTTTATTAAAATTACTTATGTGTCAATACTTTATAAAGTCACACCTCAATATATAATTATCATTAAAATTCTGACTACTAGTACCAAGTTTTAGAAGGCTCCAGCACTTTGAAAATATTGCAAGACATTATGGGCCACATGATAAACTTCAGGATGGGTTAAGCTCGACACTACTCACTGCAGAGTGCAAGCATCAAGTTTTGTCTAGTTCTGCTAAACAGAGGAGAGGACTTCACACTGAATACTGTCACTTGATCACCAAACAGGGATGAAGCTTCTGGCTTTGGCAGCCTCTGTCCCTGGGAGGGCTTCTGACTAGTAGAGGCAAAGAGGACAGTGAGTAAGCACAAGTGGATCTACGGGCCCTAAATGGGCCAAAAGAACACTCTGGAATCCTACCCAGACCAGGACCCAGAGACTGGAAACTAAGAGATGCTGTCAGCTATGTGGGTCTTCATCAAAGCATAGCAGCATAGCCCCATCTCCTCAGCCCCTTCCTCAATTTGAAGCCCAGCAGAGGGAAGCACTTTTGGAGAGGAAAGAAGGGAAGTTGGCATAGTGAAGGCCTGATGCTCTAGGCCACACCCAACAATATACAGTGAGGAGTATGATCCCACTTACAAGATGAATGGTACTATTTCAGGTGACAGTAAAGCACCCTGGGAAAATCCAAGATGCCTACTCTGAAACTCAAGAATGTGGAAGCCATACCAGAATGCAGGAATATTCTCTTAAAAATCCAGAAGGGTATTCTGATTTTCAAGCACCACACAAAAACTTTTAACTGCTTAGTATAGTGCACATGTTAAGCAAACTTTAAAAGTGACCTTACATCTTAAAGGGGCTAGGCAATCATTTATAACCATCTTCATGACTTATGCTCAACTCTGGCAATATTTGAGATGAAACATGGAAGCAAATTGTGTTTTATAGCACATAACCAGGAAAACTCCAAGTGCACGTACAGGTCTGAGCAAATGCCCTGTATTTAGCCTTTCAGAGTAGGCACACAGAGCCACTGGCTTACTCGCTGTACTTCACCGGTGAAGAACAGCAATTTTTCCATCTCAATACAATTATGGGCAGAATTTATATGTAAACTAGAAGTCTTTCCATAAAGTTTAAGATTTAGGGTAGAAGAAGGGAAGATAAAAACATGAAATTCTCATGAAGGCAAAATAATTCCACATAGGTCTTCTACTCCATGAAACCCTGAGATGAACTGTAGTCCTCAAACGTGTGCTTGGGTCCAGGTTCACAAAGCACCTCAGTATGCTTCAAACTGGCTCATCATCAACTTCCTGCTATATTCATAGGCCAAAAACAGTGCCCCATTGGCAGGGAACGCACGAATCATAGTCGGTTTCAGTCCAGAATACAAAGCCGTTATTCCTACAAGGTAGTAGAGATACAATAAAATGACACAGAAAGGTGATCAAAGATTCTTGGAGAGTCCTACACAGCTGCAGAGCAGATATTTTCATCCTTACTCTATAGCAGCACTAAAACCTAAAAAGTGATGGGAGGATTTATTTCCAGGTTTCCCTACATACACTCATAGCAACAAGGACACTTGCCAGGTGTACGGCCAGGCTGATCCATGCTCAAGTTCCATGCATGGTTAACTTCCATTATGCAAACTGGGCAGAGCTGAGCCTTACAAGGTCAGATGGGAGGCCACCATTGAGCCATTTCCTGGCAGCAGCAGCTTTACAGCTTCACCTGGGGTGTGAGGACCACAAGGCATCACGGGCAGTGGAAAGAGCACTGCCCTTGAAGTGACAGATCTTTTTCTAGTACCAGTACTAGCTCTTGACTGATTGCCATTGAGTTGATTTCACTTCATAGCAACCCTATAGGAGAGAGAGTAGAACTGTCCCATGGGGTTTCCAAGGCTTCCAAGCCTGCTATCTTTATGGAAGCACACTGCTACATCTTTTTCTCACCGAGTGGCTGGTGGGTTCGAACCACTGACCTTTTTGTTTGCAGTTGAGTTCTTAACCACTGTGCCACCAGGACTCCTGGATTGCCATTAAATGGGGGAAAATAAATTCCCGAATTGTTATGAAAATTAGATAATGGGGGTATAAGTATTTTGTAAAACTATAAAGTGTTCTGCAAATTTAAAATGGAATTTCTATTAATATACAAGATGTTTGTGCTCTACTTGGGAAATGAATTGAACACTTTCTGCATACTAGTGTATACTAGGAATGTGCTCCCTAATTTTAAGATGCGTAATGGATTCTGGAAGGACCTTCACTCTCTGGTTTCATGAAGTTAACTTTATACAAACCTTACTTTAGAAACTCTAAAGTAATTCTAAAAATCGACAGTAAATCACCTTCAGAAACTTCTTAGTCTTTTTCTAACCCCAGAAGTCCTAGCGTTAAGGATGCTGTACATCCTTTTAAACCCCGAGTGGTACAGTTAGAGATCAGCTGGTATTATCGATGTTACATAAACCAGGTGAAGCTAATCTCAAAGCATCTGTCCCCTTAGGCAAAGCCTTTATTTTAAAAACTCCCTCCAGGCAATTTAGAACAAAATATTCTGGCTGATACCTGGCCCGGGGGTTAGGAACAGGACCTTTAAGGATTCTTCTTGGAAGGAATAAAAGCAAGCTAAAGAAAGGAATCTGGAAAGCTAAATCCACAAAGGTGGGTTCAGGGTTCATCCACACTGTGAAAGATAGCATGAGAGGTGGGGAAAGAGAGCAAGCGTGCGCAATCAACCTCAACAAGACTAGCAGCAAAGACAACCACTCACTCTGGACATACCAACTCTGTACCTGCAATCAGTACACTCACCTTCATTCTTCAAAACACTTACAAAGGTTCTGATAAATCCTGCCTGTTTTCCAGACATGGAAAGAACCTGAATTCTGGATTTGATACAATCGACTGGGTACACAGCCAGCCAGAGGCAAATTCCACCAACTCCACCACTTAACATCAAAGGGACAGGGCCTGGAGAAGAAAAAGAGCAAACAGTATTTTGTCTCTAGAACAAGTGACATGCCAGGGGTCAGTATTTTGTCTCTAGAACAGGTGACATGCCAGGGGTCAGGTAGGTGAAAATACAAATGGGAATGCTGGGGAATGCAATTCTTTGAGGAACTGTCATAAGCTCCTGTTAAAACCAAAACCAAACTCACTGCCATCGAGTCAATTCCGACTCATAGAGACCCCCTTTGGGTGTCTGAGCAGTAAATCTTTATGGAAGTGGATTGCCCAGTTTTCCTTCCAAAGCTCTTGTTACTGGGCACCAATTCAGACTGGCACACAAGGTCAGACTGGTTGTCCATGTTCACTTCTGAATTTCGCCAGAACAAGAAGCTCTAATGAGGGCTGCTAACCAAGGTGCAGGCCCGCTGCCTCATCCCCCAGAGGGCTGGCCCACAGGGGACCAGACCAGGAAGCTCATAGCAGGTGGCAATGCCTTACCATGGTGGGTGGGAAGGGAAGTCAAAGACCATGGCCATGTACTTTTTCACCTTTCTCACTCTATTTTATTACTCTAACACCCTATAAAGGAACTCTGGTGGTGCAATGCTTAAGGCATTTGGCTACTAACCAGAAAATCAATGGTTCAAATGCACCAGTTACTCTACAGAAGGAAGATGAGGCAATCTACTTCTGTAAAGATTTACAGCCTTGAAAACCCAATAGAGGTCACCATGAGTCAGAATTGACTTGATGGCAGTGGATTTTAACACTCTATAGCCTCAGTTCTTTCTTTAAAAAAATCAAGATTCTCTTATTAAACCCAACAACTAAGTCTGAGAGCTTGACTAGTCCCCAGAATAGATTAAAAACATGAAAAGGGGATAATTTAAGAAAAAAGTAACTCACTTAAGTGAGTCAAGCATTACATATAGTTGTGTCAAGTGGCTAAACAGAATAAGCTACAAAGAACTACTTTTCACTACATCAAAACACTATCAAGATTTATTAAGTGTTAAGCTTATTACATACAAGATCATAGCAATTTCCCCATGGGAAAAGTAATTTCTGTACTTCTTCTCCCTCCAAATGGGATCCAGAACAAATTAACAAATGTTACTCCAGTAAGACATTTGGGAGGTACTGCTTCAGCCCCTGGTCCTGAGAGATACACAGCCTAGAAGAAGGATGCTAGCAATCACTTTCCTACATCCAGAAGCTCCTAGTGCCAGATGGACCTCCCTCCACCAGGAGGCGCAGGGCAGAGGATCAGCAGCAACCACACCACTGGGGGGAGAGAGCGCATATGCAAATGCCGTTGTGCAAACACATTTACCTAGTTCATCTTTTGATCTCTCTGATGCAAAAAATGATCGGCTCAGTTCATAGCCCCCGAAGAAGAAGAAATAGCCCGGTACTTCTCGAAGTAAAGTGCTTGAGAGTCCATGGTAGAAGCCCAAGGGGCCATCCTTCCTAAGGATACTCTTCACAACAGACCAAACTGTACTGGGAAAAGACAGTGAGTGACATAGTTATGGCGAGTGGGGAAGGAAGAAGGACAGCAGCACACGCACCCAGTTAACAGGCTGACTTTATACTTAGCAGGGCATTCTGAAGGAGCTCTCGTGGACTGCTAACCAGAAGACTGGCAGTTCAAACTCACCAGCTGCTCCATAGAAGAAAGATGGGGCATCTATTTCTGTAAAGATTTACCACCTTGGAAACCCAATGGGGGTCACTATGAGTCAGAATCAACTAACTCAACGGCAATGAGTTTATTGTTGTTTGTTTTTTTAAGGGTAGTCTGAGAATAAAAGCCAGCCTTCTGTGGGAAAGAAATATTTTAGAGAAGTATAGATACCTAGAAAAAGATTTGCCACCTAAATTATTCCATGGCAAATATATTTTATTAAAATGAATGCATGCATTGCTATATTCACATTAGCAGAGATGTAGAGTGCTGATGCCCATTTTTCTACAGTGAATTATCAAGAACTAGAGTTACAATAAGGAGTTACTCAAACTCGCCAAGAATAAAATGGTATTGCATTTGCCCACTCTCTCACCTCTCCCCGATTCCTATCTCCTCACTTTTTTCATGTGTTTTGAGGGAATTTGTTCAGTGTTGAGGGTCTGTTTTGTTTTAGTGCAGAGAGAAATAAACAAAGGAATAAATGTTACTCAAAGGCAAGACAAGAAATTCTAAAGTATAAACTACAGCTGCTATGATGAAAGGGTATATACGCAGGGTAATTGGTTTTAAACCCTGTTACTGCACTGGAACAAAGGACCACTTTTCAACTACAGAGTCCTCCTCCTGTAACAGGTTTTATCCCTATTAAGAACTGAATCAGGAGTCCTGGTGGTGCAGTGGTTAAGCACTTGGCTGCTAACCAAAAGGTTGGTAGTTTGAACCCATCAGAGGCTCCATAAGAAAAAGATATGGCAGGCTGCTCCCAAAAAATTAAAGCCTTGGAAACCCTATGGGGCAATTCTACTCTGTGCTACAAGGTGACTATGAGTCAGAATAAACTCAAAGCAATGGGTTTGGTTTTTTAAGAATAGGATTAGACACCCGTTTAGTGTGAGTTAGTAAATGCCTCACTTTAAACTTCATTCTCAGAGGATAGGCTACTTAACTTGGAGCAATGAGGGGTTGAGGCTTAAGGTAATAAAAGCCACATAGTTTTAATGATTATGTTCCTTCTGAAGACTTCAAAAGGCTTAATCAGGCATTACACCTGCAGAACCACTGGCATTCTATTCTGTGGAATGAAACAAAGTAATCCAGCACAACACAACCACCTGCCTTTCAATCAAGTCTTAACCCCAGGGTTGCAGTACTCCCCAACTGGAGGTACTGCTATGCCCAAAATACAAAGCCAGACTTCCTAATTTATACTTTCTTGCAAGATGTCTTTTGGCTTTAAAAATTACTTTCTTTAAAAATATCTAAACTGTAACAACCTAAATGTTTATCAACAGATAAGTGGATAAACAAAATGTGGTACATTTGTTGTTGCTGTTATGTGCTGCCAACTTGTCTCCGACTCATAGCGACCTTATGTACAATAGAATGAAACACTGCCAAGTCCTGTGCCAGCCTTACTATCCATACTGTACCTGAGACCATCCTTGCAGCCACCATGTCTATTTATCTCATTAGGGTCTTCCCCTCTTTTGTTGACTCTCCACTTTACCAAGTATGACATCTTTCTCCAGAGAATGGTCCTTCTGACACTATGACCAAAGTAGGTGAGATGACATGTGGCCATTCTCAATTCCAAGAAGCATCCTGGCTGCACTATTTCCAGGACAGATCTGTTAGTCCTCTTAGCAGTCCACGGTACTTCCAGCATTCTTCACCAACACCACAACTCAAAAGCATCAACTCTTCTTCAGTCTTCCTTATTCATCATCCGGCTCTCACATGCATATGAGGTGATTGAAAATACCACGGCTTGGTTAGATGCATCCTAGTCCCCAAGGAGATATCTTTGCTCTTCAGCGCTTGAAAGAGGTTTTTTGCAGCAGATTTGCCCAATGTAATATGTCTTTTGATGTCTTGACTGCTGCTTCCACTGGCACTGATTGTAGAAACAAGTAATATGAAGTCTTTGACAATTTCAATCTTCTCTCCATCTATCATGATGCTGCTTACTGGTCCAGTTGGGAGGATTTTTGTTTTCTTTATGTTGAGATAAAATCCAAACTGTAGACTGTAGTCTTTCATTTTCATCAGTAAGTGCTCTAAGTCATCCTCACTTTCAGCAAGCAAAGTTGTGTAACCTGTGTAATGCAGGTTGTTAATTAGCCTTCCTCCAATCCTGATGCCACGTTTTTCTTCATACAGTCCAATTTCTCAGATTATTTGCTCAGTATATAGATTGAATAAGTGAATAAGTATGGAGAAAGGATACCACCCTGACGCACCCCCTTCCTGATTTTAAACCATGCAGTGTCCCCTTGTTGTGTTCAAATGACAATTCGAACACAATTGGTGTATGAACACTCCTGGTCTATGTACAGGGTCCTCATGAGTACAAGTGTTCTAGAATGCCCATTTTTCTCAAAGTTATTGATAATTTGTTATGATCCACATAATCGAATACCTTTTCATAGTCAATAAAACACAAGTAAACATCTTTCTGGTATTCTTTGCTTTCTGCCAAGATCCATCTGACATCAGCTATGATAGCCCTCACTCCACATCCCTTCTGAATCCAGCTTGCATTTCTGGAAGTTCTCTGTCAATATATTGCTGCAACCATTTTTTAATTATCTTCAGTAAGATTTTACTTGCATGTGATACCAGTGATATCGTTTGATAATTTCCACATTCTGTGGGATCACCTTTCTTTGGAATGGGTACAAATATGTATCTCTCCCAGTCAGTTGGCCAGGTAACTGTCTTCCAAATATCTTGGCATAGCCAAGTGAGTGCCTCCAGCAGGACAGCCGTTTGTTGAAACATCAGTGGCTATTCTGTCAATTCCTGGAGGCTTGTTTTACACCAAATTCCTTCAGTGCAGCTTTGACTTCTTCCTTCGATACCAGTGGTTCTTGATCATATGCCACCTCCTGAAATGGATGATCATCTACCAATTCTTTTTGGTATAGTGACTCTGTGTATTCCATCCATCTTCTTTTGATGTTCCTTACATCATCCAACATATTGCCCATCGAATCTTTCAATATTGCAATTTGAGGCTTAAAAGTTTTCCTCAGTTCTTTCAGCTTCAGAAATGTCAAGCGTGTTCTTCCCTTTTGGCTATTTAACTCCAACTCTTGGCACATTTCATTATAATAATTGACTTCGTCTTCTTGAACTGCTCTTTGAAATCTTCTGTTCAGCTCTTTTATGCTGTTGATTCTCCCATTTGCTTTAGCTACTCTCCATTCTAAGCAAGTTTCAGTCTCTTCTGACATCCACTTTGGTCTTTTCTTCTTTTCTTGTCTTTTCAGTGACCTTTTGCTTTCTTCATGGATGATGTTCTTGATGTCATCCCACAGTTCTTCTGTTTTTTGGTCACTGGTGTTCAATGCATCAAATCTATTTTTTAGATGGTCTCTAAATTTAAGAGGGATAAAATCAAGGTCATATTTTGGCTCTTGTGGACTTATTTTAACTGTCTCCAGTTTCAACTTGAGCTTGAATATGAGCATTTGATGGTCTGTTCCACCATCAGCTTCTGACCTTGTTTTGGCTGAAGATGTTGAACTTCTCCATTGCCTCTTGCCATAGATGTAGTCAATCTGATTCCTGTGTACTCCATCTGGCAAAGTTCATATGTATAGCTGCCATTTCTGTTGATGAAAAAGGTATTTGCAATGAGTAAGTCGTTGGTCTTGCAAAATTCTATCATACGATCTCCAGCATCATTTCTATCACCAAGACCATATTTTCCAATTACTGGTGATTCTTCTTTGTTTCCAACTTTTGCATTCCAATCACCAGTGACAATTAACACATTTTGATTGCATGTTCAGTTGATTTCAGACTGCAGAAATTGGTAAAAATCTTCAATTTCCTCATCTTGGCTTTGGCAGTTGGTGCATAAATTGAATAACAGTATATTAACTGGTCTTCCTCATGTTGTTGTTGTTACTGTTATGTGCCATAGAGTATGACCCGACTCATAGCAACCCCTCCTTGGGTTTCTGAGATGGCCTCATAGGCGTATAGATATTATCCTGTCACTGATAGCACTGTACTTCAGGATAAATCTTGAAACATTCTTTGTGATGATGAATGCCATGCCATTCCTCTTCAATTTGTCATTCCTGGCATAGTAGATCATATGGTTGTCTGATTCAAAATGGCCAAAACCAGTCCATTTCAGGTCAGTAATGCCTAGGATATCAATCTTTATGTGTTCCATTTCATTTTTGAAAACTTCCAATTTTCCTAGATTCATACTTAGTACATTCCATGTTCCGATTATTAATGGATATTTGCAGCTATTTCTTCTTATCTTGAGTTGTGCCATATCAGCAAAAGGAGGTCCTGAAAGCTTTACTCCATCCACATCATCAAGGTTGGCTCTATTCTGAGGAGGCAGCTCTTTCCTAGTCATATTTTGAGTGCCTTCTGACCTGAGGGACTCATCCTCTGGCACTGTATCAGAAAATGTTTCAGGGCTATTTTTCAGTAATATATCAATCAGACAGTGTTTCACCACTATTCATAAGGTTTTCACTGGCCAATTCTTTAAGAAGTGGATGGCCTCTTACTTCTGAGTCTGTCTTAGCCTAGAAGCTCCACTGAAACCTGTCCACCATGGCTAACCCTGTTGGCACTTGAAACTCTAGTGGCACAGCCTCCAGCCCCACAGCAACACACAAGCCACCACAGGATGACAAACTGACAGATGAGTTTGTCTCCCTTAGCTGTTCCAAACTGCTCCACTCCCACTTCCCAGCCTTCCCAAGCAGTTCCGGTCCTCCAAAAAGCTGTCTACCACCACCTTCCAGCCCTCCTTACCAGTTCCGGCACTCCAAAAAGCCATCTGCTGCTACCTCCCGGCCATCCCTACCAGTATGTATATAGTACATAAATATCATAAGTATGTGGTACATACATATGAAATATTACTCAGTCATAAAAAGAAAGTAAGTCCTGATGCATGTTATAATATGGATAAAATTTGAAAATATTATGCTAAGTGAAGTCAGTCAGTCATAAAAGGTCAAATACTGCATGATCCCACTTATATACAAGATCTTAAAAACTTGTGAGCAGCCATGGAAGATGCAACAATTGGTCTCTCCTGTCTGATGCAAAGAAGAGTGAAGAAAACAAAAGACACATGGAAACAATTAGTGCAACAGGCTAGTGGACCATGAAAACCTCAGCCTACACAATCCTGAGACCAGAAGAACTAGATGGTGCCCAGCTACCACAGCCAACCACTCAGAACAGGATCAAAATCAGAGATCCAAACAGAGTGGGAGAAAAATGTGAAATAAAATTCAAAGTGTGATTTGACAGAGACTGGTGAAACCCCAAGACTATGGACCCTCGTCACTCTTTGAACTCACTCCAGTGACTTCCGGCCAAACAACAGACAAGCCTACCTACTGAACAATTACACCAGCTATGGTACACTCCTTAGAACATCAGCTGTGGTAGATCAGCATTTGCACAGAGAGACAGCTCAGAGGGCAGGAATGCATAGGAAGGAGGACACAGGGAAAATCTAACCACAGGGAGGAAGTGAGAAGACAGCTACTACATTGTGGGGTTTGCAAATCGATGTCATGAAACAAAATGTGTATGAACTCTTGAATGGAAAATAAATTTGCTCTGTAAACTTTCACCCACATCACAATTAAAAAAAAAAAATCTAGAATAGACAAATGCATAAAAACTAAACTTCATTAGTGGTTACAAGAGGCGGGAGGAGGCGGGGGAAACACTCACTGTTTAGGGGACACTGAGCTTCTAATAAGGATGAGGAGAAAATGTAGAGATAGATAACAGTGATGGTCACAAAACATGATGAACATGCACGTTACTAAATTGTGCATGTGAAGAATGCTGAAAAGGCAAATGTTTTGTTAGTATTTACCACAATTGAAAAAAAAAAAAACCACCTGGATGGTGTTAATGTTGTATTTCTTCATCATCTGGCCAATGGTTACAAAGGAATGTTCAATTTGTAAATATTAATAAACAGGCACACCTAACTTTTCATGATTTCTATGTATGAATTCATGTTATTACATGTTATACTTCAATAAATAATTTAACAGTTACTCTTTTAGATTTGTAGGTATGAATGATAGACTCAAATTCACAATAAGGAAATCTCAATAGGTCTCTATTATAAACCCTACTCTCACTGAGAGGAGACCGATAAATCTGGAAATCATCAATGTATCCACTGTTGTTTCCCAGTAGATACACAGGCTTTGAGTCAACCACAGCAATGGCTAAGATCAGAACTCCTGTCAGCCAGATGTCAAGATAAATAAGCACATTTTGGGATTAATAAAGTAGTAAATCATGTTGTGTGTGACATATGCACCTCACAGTGTAACTACAATCTGTTTTTGAGACTGAGCTGGTGCTATGACATTGAAGAACTGCTCTCCTTCATGAGCATTTTGGTATTTTCAGAACCTTTGTCCTTCATAGAAGTTGTAGTGGAGGGGCAGTCAAGGAAGCTGCCCCTCCGATCTAGGGTGCTCAGTGTGAACAGCCACGTGCAGTCCTGGAATGGGCATCAATATTTATCTCAGAATCCAAATGGGCACTTGCTGAAGACTCAGGTCTTAGACACCTGCTACTACTGGGGACAAAGTTCAAAGCTGTCTGCTACGTGCCCCCAAATAGTTAGGGGTCATGTCTTGTGCACACAAGAGGCCAGAGAGGCAAAAGCTGCTGGCTTCTCCACTTCTGGAGATTAACTATTTGCCTAAGACATTCTATGGGATAGTAGGTCCAACCATCACAGTCCTTTCAGAAAATTATCTTTTGACTAGTTGGGAAAAGCATTCTAGAGACACAATAAAAAATAGTTTAGAATAGATAAACGTGCCCATATCATCTCTGCCACTTGATTTTAGTGCAGTACAAAAATAGAGACCCAGTACACCAAGGCAACAGAGACCTGACCGCTTGGGCTCAAGTGGTGCTTACTTCTGGCTCGTTGCTATCTTTCCCGATGTCTCCATCTCATACATGGTCTGTAGCCGGCACTTCACAAGCTCAGTGGGGCAGAGCACCAGTGCAGCAAACGCAGAGGCAAAGGACCCAGCGCCTGCGTTCTGGAGGTCACTGAAAGGACACAAGCATAGGAGACAGTTTCACTCGTTCCACCAGCACTCGCCACACAGAAGGTGCTGGGGCAGTAAGGAGAGTAACGGTGGAAGGAGGGAACACTTGTCAGTGCCTGCCAGGAACTTCACATGCTGCTCCATCCACAGCCCCACAACCTGTGAAAGTAAGAGCAATATCCCAGTTTCCAAAGGAGGAAAACGATGTTTAGAGATGTTATGTATGTGCCCCAAACTGCAGAGCAAACAAGTAGCAGTGCAGGATTCAAACCCAGACGGCTCAGGCAGACTGCAAAAAACATACTTTTTTTATTAGACAAGTGATACAAACAAGCAAAACAGCAAGAACAGGGGGAAAAATTACTCAGAGTCCTACCACCCAAAAACATGTACCATTAATACTCCAGTGTAATCACACTAGGTTCTGAGGTCATCCCAATATGTGGTATATAACATAACTGTCTCAGATGAAACCCAGAATAAAATTTTAACTGAAACACTGCAGCAGTGACAAGACTTCCCTGGTCAGCTGATTACCCCCTTGCTCCTGCAGCATAGACAAGAGGAGGCGCAGTGTAGCTGTAGGAGTGGGGCCAGTGCAAGGCAGCAGGCTCACTGGTTTTGGGGAAAATGGTTAAGGTGAAAATTTAAACTAAAATTTAACCTTAATGGATGAATGAATGGACACAAATCCAAAAATCACCTAATTTCTTGTGGGTTTTAGTACCACCAGCATGAGAATCACTAAGAGTTCAAGAATATGACAAAGTCTGAGAAATAAATTGCTAGGAAGGCTTCTCTAAAGATTCCAAACAAACAGTTGCTGTCCAGTCAATTCCAAACCCTGGTGACTCCACGTGCGTCAGAGTGGAACCACTCCCCAGGGTTTCCGGTGGTTGATCTTCCAAAAGCACATTACCACGCCTCTCTTCCAGTGTGCCTCTCGTTAGACTCAAATCTCCAACCTTTCAGTTAGCCTCCAAGGGCAGTAAGTTTTATACCACCCAGGGACTTAGCAAAGAAAATCCCTAACCAATCTCTGTGATGGAGTTTTCTCACAGGGACACTGCTGGCATTTGGAAGGGCCAACTCCTTGAAGTGCAGGAAGGACTGACCAGCTCACAGGAGGACAAGTGGCTCCCAACCCTCATCCATTAAATGCCAACATGTCACTGGAATTACCAAAGATCCCAGGGGTGGTACCACCCTCAGCCAACCTGCCACATTAGTATAGAATCAAGGGCTGCTTCCTGTCTCACGAATGTCCCTGCCCTATGTCTGGCCTTCGCAGTGGTGGATGCACAACAGGTATCTAGGGACCTGGTCAGCCTCTCCCACACTCAAGTCTTTCAGAAACAGGCTTGGAATGGGGTTTTCTTTCAGGAAGAAGGTGATGCTGCAAGGCGCTGGACTTCCTTTGAATTTTGGAGAATGAAACATAAGACCATTTAATAGACAAGGGCTAGATATAGACAGTTTTATAAAACGTAGATATTTTGTTCAACGCTACTGATTCCATGCTTTCCTCCTCACTTTGCTCCAACAAAGCTTAAGGTGGCTCCTACTGCCTTGCAGCCAGCCTACAGGTCTATAGTAGTCTCCCTCAGGGATTGCCTATCAGTCTGCTGACAAGCAACAGTAAATTGGGGTCATTAACCAGAATGGGCCAGGTCTGCTGGAGCAAAGGTGACAGTCAATAAATGTAGAGGCCTCTTAGCCCCAAGTGGTGGTAAGCATGGCTCAGACATGTGGACCAATGCCAAGCACACTACACAGGGCAAGTACATAGGCCAGATGAGATTTGCTGGGGACTTTGGCTTTCTAGTGAAGACTTCATCTACTAGCATACTCACCAAGGGCCTGGGCCCCAGGTTCTGCTGGGAGGAAGAATGTTTAGAACTAGAATGGAAATGGCAAAGGCGTATGAGGGGGTTCAGTAAGAATCAACTGTTTGCCCCTCATTCAACAAACATGCTCCTGAACACTCCTACCTTGTAAGATCCTGAGCAATCAAAGGTCAAGCTCTGGGCGAACACCCTGGGTGGTGTTCAGCCAGGGACAGACAAATATTTACAGTATTATTGCAGAAATCCCCAACAGGTTCTCATAAGCAGTGCTTCCCTCCCACTGCTCCTGCTCAAACATCCCTCTAGGTCTGTGCTCTTCCAAACAATTCCAGAGCCCCGACTGAGGCTTGGTTTCCAGCTCTATCTTTCTAACTGGGTGATCTAGAGCACATCGCTCTTAGCACCTCTTTTCCCACCTATGAAACAGGATCATTACCTCTGCTTTGCTCATTTCACAGACCGTGGTGAAGGCTGAGAAGCAGATACACTCGTCAGAGCTTTGTAAACTCTAAGACAGTACTTTCCTGACCAGTCATGAGAAACTGCTGTCCTGCAGGATGAGAAAGTCCTCATGCTCACAAAAGATATGAGTGCTGGCTTAGACAAAGTTAACCAGGATGGTTTCTTTAACAAACCAAGTATCACGTATACTACTAAAATAAATACGATGTACACAGAGGGAGTCTCCACTCTATGCCCCGTATTCTCCAGCCACTTTTGGGGGCATCAATTCAGTGTTCTGAAAACCATAAAATCCACTGCCTTCCAGGGGATTCTGACTCAAGAACCATCCAGGACAGAGCAGAACTGCCCCATAGTGTTTCCAAGGCTGGAAATCTTTATAGAAGTACACTGCCTCATCTTTCTCCCATGGCTGGTAGGTTCGAATTGCTGAACTTTCAGTTAGCAGTTGAGCACTTTAATGACTGTGCCATCAAGGCTCCTTGCTCTGAAGACAGGACAGAGAAATGCAGCTGTAGGGATTACATTGTTCTCCACTGGCAAAGCACTGTGCCCTCGCTTCTCTTCACTCTGTTCACAACCTAAGAAAAGGAAAAAGGCGGGGTGGCAGACAGACTCAGATTCCTGATGGTTTTGCTCAGGCAAGAAGGCAGAAGGTACTGTGTATCTCAGGTGCTGGGGTGACTGCTCTGCCCAGAGAGGAAACAAACCTCCCTCTAGAATCTCATGTGCTCGTTCACTATCTCTGCATTACATCCTTCTCCAGGAATGCTGAAGGAGAATAAACTCCAGTTCTCCTCAGGTAAAAGACAGCCTCAACCTCTCCGTCAAGTGGGGGAGAGTACAGTCATCCATCGTTTAACTACTGTTCAGCCTTCACTATGAGATGCGACACTCTCTAGGAGGGTCTCCTGCTTCTTTCTTTATTTCTTCTTCCTAACCTCTTATATGGTGCTGAGTGGTGCAAATGTTTACCGTGCTTGCTACTAATGAGAAGATTGGAGGCTTGAGTCTGCCCAGAGGAACGCTGGAAGAAAGGCCTGGCAATCCACTTCCAAAAAATCTGCCACTGAAAATGCTATGATGCACAGTTCTACTCTGACACATATGGGGCTGCCATGAGTCAGAGTCTACTCCATGGCAACTGGTATTATAACTTCTACATGCTGGAGAGGCCAGGCTCTTCTTTAGCTCTGTCTCCCTGGGCAATTGCATCCAATTCCACAGCATTAAAAAACAAATATCATCTATCATGGTAGAAGCTCTGTTTGAGGAAAGACACATCTTTAGACCTCCAGGCATCTCCAGAGAATAATTCTGTACAAAGAGATCTGCTTCATCATGCAGGGCCAGTAATTGCAATCAGGTTTCCAATGCCTACCAAAACAAGCAATGAGGATGCCCTCTGCCATCACCAAGCCGATATAACCATTTTAAATGACTTTAAAATAAATCAGTATTCATAGAAGGGATAGCAAAACATCCCAGTGGTTTCCAAATCCAGTTTAGTCTCTAGATAAAAAATTCCCATGGGATGTGTCAGCATATCATTGCTGATGTCAGATCGTTCCTCGTCCTCTTCTGAATCCAGCTTACATTTCTAGAAGTTCTCTGTCAATATACTGCTGCAACCATTTTTTAATTATCTTCAGTAAGATTTTACTTGCATGTGATATTAATGATATTGTTTGATAATTTCCACATTCTATGGGATCACCTTTCTTTGGAATGGATACAAATATGTATCTCTTCCAGTCAGTTGGCCAGGTAGGTGTCTTCCAAATCTGTTGGCATAACCGAATGAGTGCCTCCAGCAGGGCATCTGTTTGTTCAAATATCTCAATAGGTATTCCATCAATTCCTGGAGCCTTGTTCTTCTCCAGTTCTTTCAGTGCAGCTTTGACTCCTTCCTTCAATACCATTGGTTCTTGAACATATGCCACCTCCTGAAATGGATGAACATCAACCAGTTCTTCTTGGTACAGTGACTCTGTGTATTCCTTCCATCTTCTTTGGAAGCTTCCTGCATCATTCAATATTTTGCCCATAGAATATTTCAATATTGGAACTTGAGGCTTAAAGTTTTTCCTCAGTTCATTCAGCTTGAGAAATGCCGAACGTGTTCTTCCCTTTTGGTTTTCTAATTCTAGGATTTTGCACGTTCCATTATAGTAACTGGTTTTGTCTGCTCGAGCTGCTCTTTGAAATTTTCTGTTCAGCTCTTTTATCTTGTCAGTTCTTCCATTTGCTTTAGCTACTCTTCACTCAAGGACAAGTTTCAGAGTCTCGTCTGACATCCATTTTGGTCTTTTCTTTCTTTCTCATATTTTTAATGACCTCTTGCTTTCTTCATGGATGATGTTGTTGATGTCATCCCACAATTCTTCTGGTTTTTGGTCATTGGTGTTCAATGCATCAAATCTATTCTTTAGACGGTCTCTAAATTCAGGAGGGATATATCCAAGGTCATATTTTGTTTCTCATGGACTTGTTTTAATTGTCTTCAACTTCCAGTTGAACTTGCATATCAGTAGTTGATGGTCTGTTTCACAATCAGCTCCTGGCCTTGTTTTGGCTGAAGATATTGAACTTTTCCATTGCCTCCTGCCATAGATGTAGTCAATCTGATTCCTGTGTACTCCATTTGGTGAAGTCCACTTGTATAGACTCTGTTTGTGTTGCTGAAAAAAGGTATTTGCAATGAATAAGTCGTTGGTCTTGCAAAATTCTATCATGTAATCCCCAGCATTATATCTGTCACCAAGGCCAAATTTTCCAGCTACCGGTGATTCTTCTTTTTTTCCAACTTTTGTACACCAATCACCAGTGATAAGCAACACGTCCTGATTGCATGTTCAGTCAATTTCAGACTACAAAATTTGACAAAAATCTTCAATTTCCTCATCTTTGGCTTTGGTGGTTGGTGCATAAATTTGAATAGTAGTAGTATTAACTGGTCTTCCTTGTAGGCATATGGATATTATCCTATCACTGACGGCAGAACAGAGCTTGAAACATCTTTTGTGATGATGAGTGCCATGCCATTCCTCTTCAATTTGTCATTCCCGGCCCAGTAGATCATATGGTTGTCTGATTCAAAATGGCCAAAACCCATCCATCTCAGCTCACTAATGCCTAGGATATCAATCTTTATGTGTTCCATTTCATTTTTGACAACTTCTAATTTTCCTAGATTCATACTTCATACGTTCCATGCTCTGATTATTAATGGATGTTTGCAGCTGTTTCTCCTCAATTTGAGTTGTGCCATGTCAGCACATGGAGGTGCTGAAAGACTTACTTTATCCGTATCATTAAGCTTGGTTCTACTCTGATGAGGCAGCTCTTTCCCAGTCCTATTTTGAGTGCCTTCCAACCCAAGGGGCTCATCTTCCTGCACTGTGTTGGACAATGTTTCCGAGCTATTCATAAAGTTGCCCAGTAACGTATCAGACAGTGTTTCTCTGCTATTCATAAGGTTTTCCCTGACCAATTTTTGAGAAGTGGATGGCCTCCTCCTTCTTTCTACTCTGTCTTAGTCTGTAAGCTGCATTGAAACCTGTGCACCATGTGCAACTCTGCTAGTGTCTGAAACACCAGTGGCATAGCCTCAAGCCTCACAGCAACATACAAACCCCACAGGATGACAAACTAACAGATAAGCCTGTCTCCCTTAGCTGTTAGAAACCTCTGTGCCCTCCCCTTAACTAATTTCTACCTGGAACCTGCCACTTTGTGGTCCCTGGCTGTTCCCGCCCTTTCCTGGCTCTAGGGGGCCTAGCCTTGCCTCCTGCCCCTTTTTATCTGGATATTCTGCCATTCCGGAGGTCCCTGGCCTCTTCTGCTTCCTCCCCTTCCTGGCTCTAGAAGGCATGGGGTCTAGCCTTGCCTCCCGTCCCTTTTACCTGGATATCCTGCTGTTCTGGAGGTCCATGGCTTCTCCTGCTCCCTCCCTTTCCTGGCTCTATGGAGCGTGGGGCCTAGCCTTGCTTCTTACCTCTTTTTACCTAGATATTCTGCTACTCCAGAGGTCCCCGGCCTCTCCTGCTCCCTTCCTTTCCTGGCTCTAGGGGGCTTTTGATCTAACTTTGCCTCCCGCCCCTTTTTACCTGGATATCCTGCCACTCCAGAGGTCCTCAGCCTCTCCTGCTCCCTCTCTTTCCTAGCTTTATGGGGCTTTGGGCCTAATCTTGCCTCCTACCCTTTTACCTGGATATCCTGCTGCTCTAGAGGTCTCTGGCCTCTCCTGCTCTCCTTTCCTGGAGCAATTCTACTTCTAGATATACATCCAAAAGACTTGGAAGCAGACACTCAAACATAGACTCATACACCATTGTTCATTACAAGACGATTTACAATAGCCAAAAGGTGGAAATAGCCTAAATGCCCATCAGTGATGAATGGATAAACAAAACGTCGTACATACATACATACAATGGAATACTACTCAGTCAGTAGGAGAAATGAAGCCTTGATATGTGCTACAATGTGGATGGAGCTTGAAGATATTGTGTGAAGTGAAATAAGTCAGTCACAAAAAGACAAATACAGTATTACCTCACTTACATGAAAAGACAAGAAAAGGCAAACGTAGAGAGAGACCAAAGATTATCAGTGTTACCAGGAAGAGAATACTGAGTTTCAGTTTATGGTGAAGGTAAAATTGTGTTGATTAAGGATGGAGCTGCAAAGCTAATTAATGTAATTGCTGTTGGTAAGTTATAAATCTGTAAAAATTGAATGAAGAAAAGTTGTGTGATATATGTATAATGACAGAAAAAAAAAGTAGTTGCAGAGTCTGCTTATATATAACCAAACACCTCATAAGATTTGGTTCCTTGGTTTGGAAGGTAATAGTTTTATGGGAAATCCCAGTTGGCCTAATATCTTGTTTAGTGCTTCTGTTCTACCTCTTAGTTCTCTGCATAGAGCTTGGAGTATTTAGAGCTTACAAGTGGCCACCCAAGGTATAACAATAAAAGCAATAAGAACAGAGGAAGGAGAACAGTCAGGAATAGGAGGAGGAAATGGAACGTGTGGCTAACTACCTCCATGAACAACTGCCTCCTTTGTCATGAGACTACAAGAACTGGATGGTGCCCAGCTACCATTACTGAACTGTTTGATCAAGTATTTCATAGCGAATCCTGATCAAAAGGGGGGAAATGCAGAACAGAATTTCAAATTCTTATGGAAAACAGACTCCCGGAGCCATGAAGAATGGATGAACCCCTGAAAACTACTGCCCTGAAACCTTAAACCAAAAATATTCACCAAAAAATAGTTTAGCTCACTAGTAAACAATATCTGCCTTAAATATTGTGCTCTTTTAAGATCTATCTGTGTGGGATCAAGTTGACAACAGCAACACAAAAGATCAGACAGGAAATTTATGGGGCAGAGAGTTTATGTTGATGGGTGACAACCCAGAAAAGGAGGGTGAGAACAGCTGCACAACTTGAAGACTGTCATCAGTGTCACTGAATTGTACACGGAGATTTTGTTGAGTTGGTGCATGTTCTATTGTGTATATTCTCAACAGTAACAACAAAAATAAATTATAAAGAAAAAAGTTTATGTGATGACCAAGTATGACTTCATAATTAGAAAGGTGCTATTTTAGAAAAGAAAATGTTTTTCCTCATAGGTATCATACAAAGCTTGACTAAATAGCAGTGGTGTTTTTTTAAAAAATAAAAACAAACAAAACTGTGTCAGCATCCCCAGCTCACCTCAGCTTTGCCTGCTTGTCCAAACCAATCACTTTCCTCACCACCTGCTGGCAGAAGCCGTAGCACATGAAGAGGACAGAGTTCTCAGCAATGTTGGCAATCAGCGCTGGGCTGGTGCCCTTGTAGAAGCCCCGGAAGCCCACCTGCGAGTAGGTCTTCAGGCAGCAGTCAACGAAGCCTCTGTACAGGGTTGGGAATGTCTGCATCTTCACCTTCATTGTGTCAAAGGGCTGCCCGGTCAGGACACATGCAGTGCCCCCTGCAAACCAGGACAGCATATCAGTCTGTACCACTCCAGGACAATATGCCACAGGTAAGCCATCCCAGGACAGCATGTCACGGCCCATGCCGCCCCATGAAAGCATATCACAACCCACATGACCCCACAACAGCATGTCACAACCCACATGACCCCAGGACAGCATGTCATGGCCTATGCCACTCTAACACAGCATGTCACAGTCCTGGCCACCCCAGGACAACACATCACAGCCTGGCCACCCTCAGAGAGCATGTTACAGCCTCATCACCCTAGGACATGTCACAGCCTGGACCACTCCAGGACAGTATATCATGGCCAACATCATCTCAGGACAGTATGTAATAGCCTGGCCACCCCAGGATAGTATGTCATAGCCCACAACAACCCTGGATAGCATATTATAGCTTGGCTACTCCAGGACATTTCACAGCCCAGGCCACCCCAAGGTAGCCTAGAACATCATGTCACAGTCCACCCATCCCAGGACAGTATGCCATGCGCCTCGTTCCCCCAGCACACATCACAGCCTGGCTACCCCAGGATACCATGTCACAGCCTGGTCACCCCAGGAGAGTATAGCATGACCCAGCCACCTCAAGACATTATCATGGCCTAGGCCACTTCAATGTAGTTCAGGATAGCACATCATAGCTCATGTCACCCCAGGACAGTATGTCACAGCCTGGCCACCCTAGAACAGTATTTCACAGCCTATGTCACCCTAAGGTAACCCAGAACAGAATTCTTCTCTAGTGGGAGTGTGAGGTTTGACTTTAGAGCACCACAATCATCCATGAAGGAGGGATAAGAGCCTACAACAGGGCTTACCTTTGCTTCAGTTCATTTCAGCCCCCTTCCCTTCTGAATTCTCTAGCAGAATTGAGTAAGGAAATTATACAGGTCCCTGATGTGCCAGGCACCCAGCTTCAACCCTGCAGGAGCCCACACTCAAAAAGGGGAGATGGACATGTGGTCAATAGTCAAAGTCATGGGATGTCAGCCAGCCAAGGTGCAGCATATGTTTAGGAGCATCAGCTGTGGGGTGGAGGTGTCTGGGCCTCTATCTAGCTGAGAGACCTGGACCACCTCCTATATGTGACATGAGGAGTGAAGATGATGATACGAGGGTTTTACACAGTACCTGCTATGCAGTAAGTAGTTAATAAACAGCAGTAACCATGTGTATGTTGGAGAGGAGCCCTATGAAAAAAAAAAAAAAAGAAGGTCTGGGAAGAGTTAATCTCTTCGTCTAAGCAAATGACCCAGTGTACTGACCAGTATCAGGAAAATAAGAGGAACAGACAACCGTTGGAAAAAAGCAAGGAGTCTGGCTAATCCCTGAAGAGCTAAATGGTATTTTCCCCTCTTCTTTATTTGCAACGTTAAGGGATACTTGAAATGTGTATCTTATTATAAATGTTTTTAAGTTATATTATAGGTTCGTTTTATTATACAATATTAAAGTACTTGGAAATGAATTCCTTATGCAACTCCCCATAGCCTGAATTAACAGAAACCTTCCAGTAGCCTGTATATTTTCCCCAGCTATGTGCTTCACCATGGCAGCATTAGATGTGAGACTATATCCCAAAGCCATCAGTGAATTCAAAAGGGAAATGTGGTTCACTTTAAAATGTAAAAAATACATATAATAAAAAAAAATAAAAAAAAGATTTGCTTTATTCTACCCTCTAGACAAGGACGGGAGTTCTGGTAGCATAGTGCCTAAGGCATTTGACTGCTAACCAGAAGGCTGGCAGTTCAAATCCACCAGCCACTCCTCAGAAGGAAGATTAGGCAATCTACTTCCGTAGAGAAACTGCCTCAGAAACCCAAGGAGGGGTCACTATGAGTCAAATCCGACTCAACGACAGCGAGTTTGGTTTGTTTTTTCGGTAGACAAAGGATAGCCCTAAACCACCCAAGAAATAATTTTCTTTCTCTATCCCTATTTTATATTTTCATAGAGCTAGGTTCCTGCATCTCCTCAGTGCAGCTTTCCAGTATTTTAGAAATCTGGCCATGTTTTTCCTATTTAATTATCTTCTTGGATAAACAGCTAATTATTTGACCCTATGGAAAAACCACTTTAATTTGGACTCTTACCAATTAATGATTTGTCTTTAGCTAGGGGATGTACTACAACTACCCTTTGTTAGTATGAATGCCACATTTGTATGTTTTAATACAAGCATTTTAAAATACAGGTAGTCCGGATGAACTTGGAGGACATTATGCTGAGTGAAATAAGTCAATCACAAAAGGACAAATATTGTATTAGTCCGTTACTGTAAAAGTTAAGGAAAGGTTTATCTATTGAAGGAAGTTTTCTTTGTTGGTTACCAGGGGTGGGAGAGGAGGAGAGGGAATGCTGTTAGATAGATAGAGATAGATATTGATTTGGGTGAAGAGAAAGGCAACGTACCAAATGTGAGTGACCAATATGGCAGCATTGAGGATGAGAAAGACACAGAGAGGTACATGGGAAGTACAGACAACAAATATGAACCCTTTTGCATATACAGTACTGAGTTCTCAGTGAAGGCAAACATGGGTATATGGATGGATACATAGGTGGACAGGCTAAATGATTAGGTATGTCTATGAAAGAGGGAGTGTATCCAAGATCATATATAGGGTTGGCAGACAATGGTCCTATAAGGTTATGTGAATGATCAGAATCCCCAGGTATATAGTAGAGCTGACAAGGGGCAAGGTTGTGGTCACTGCTTGGTCACAGCCAGCTACCCAGAGGGACCGAGTAGTTGATCCTACAGGCTTGGGACCATAGTTGCAGGGGACATCAAGCTCAACTGGCATAACATACTATACAAAACATTGTTCCACCTCCTACTTTGGCGAGTAGCGACTGGGATCTTAAAAGCTAGCAAGCTGCCATGTAGATGCAACGATGGGTCTCTCCTTGTCAAGAGCAAAGAAGAAAGAAGAAAACCAAAATTAATGGAAACAATCAGTCCTCGCGACTGGTACACCATCCAATCTGCATCCTATACAACTATGAGACCAGAAGAACTAGATGGTGCCTGGCTACCACTGTCATCCACTTGGAAGGGATGTAGGAGATCCTGCATAGAGAGGGAGAACAATGTGGAACAAAACTCAAAATGATTTGGAGGGAAAAAAAAAAAAAAAGATGGTTGGGACCAGGTTTGCTGGTCCAATAGAGCCTGGTGGAACCACTGAGACTATGGCCCCTAGCTGCCCTTCAGGTCTGGAATTGAACCCACACCTGTGGTTTCCAGCCAAACAAAGTACAGGCATGTGAGTTAAACATTTACCTTAAGTAAACACACTCCTTGGAGAGAACAATCATGGGAGAAGGAAGGGTAGCTTATGCACAGGGAGACAGCTCAGGGGGCAGGAGAGTATGGAGGGATGGACACTGGGAAGTGGTACTATGGGGAGGAAGTGGGAGGGGAGCTGTTGCATTGTGGTAAACTATGATCAATGACATGAGACAAAGTATATGTGAACTGCTGTATGGAAAGTGAATTTGCTCTGTAAATCTTCACCCAAATCACAATTAAAATAAAATAAAATAAAATACAGGAAGTCTTCGTTTACAACAGGATTGCATTCCAACTGTTCCACTGAAAAATTCTTTTTTTCAAAGTTTGCATTATTACTGCCTTTTACTATCAGTATCTTTATAAATTCTAACATTGAACATCTGCAAATGAACATCTGAGAATAACATCAGTAAATTATGCACTGCAACATATATGTAGTACATATTACTAATGATAAGATGTATCAAAACAAAACCCCACAGATGGTCAATAAGTGCTCTGTCATAACAAACACATCATATTTCAATGGCTGATTTTTAAAAACTAGTTCTCCAGGCCTTTCTTCTGAGACACCTCTGGGGGGACTAGAAACCATCAATTTTCAGTTAGTGGCCAAGCTCATCAAATGTTTGCATCAGTCAGGACTCCAAATCAAAGTACTGGCTGCAATATTTTATAGCTGTAAAACTACTAAATCTTAAAGTATTGCTTACTACTTGTTAGGTGTCCATGAGTTGATTTCAACTCATAGTAACCCCATGTGACAGAGTAGAACTGGTTTCCCTTTAAGGTTGTTTAACATTTGAGATCCACACAGCCTCATTCCATTAATTACCCAATTATCTATCTTCTTCAAATGTTCCATCCTCCAGCTGCTCAGAGCTCCATATCCTTCTGGAATATCAGGCTGAACTTTCTCCTATAGCAACTACAGACAGAGAGGACAACTCCCCAGCATGTTTGATTAGAGGAGCTAAAATGGAAACCTGTTCAGTGGTAAAAGCTTTGTTAAAAAAAAAAAAGAAAAAAGGAGAGACACGATGAAGAATCCACTTATGCTACTACACCCTGATCACAACAGGCTCTGCTCTTAAAGGAATCGCTTCGATGGGAAGCTGCATCCAGAAACATTAGGGGTTCTTAGGTCCTTGCAATGGCCAACAGAAACATTCCAAAGCTCAGCAGTTTCCACGTCCAGAGAACAGGGCCTCATACTTATCTTCACCCTTGGGAATGCTTTTGACCCATTATGTAGCATTAAAACAAAGACAATCACAAAAGAACTAAACAAGCAACCAAGAAATTAAGGTCCCAGCCCTGTCTTTACACCCACCAACTGGGTAACTATGGATAGACCCACCATCCCTCTCTGGACCTTATCTAAAGGCCCACTCTATCTCTATCCCCTGAAGACTCTGAGACCCCTCCAGAATGGGACTGCTTCTTCTCATCTGCCACCTCACAGTCAGAATGAAGGTCCTTACATCATTAACAGGCACTGCAGATGCCCAACACCTGTATCGGTTTCATCATCTCCACCTCACAGACCTACTGCAAAGGGAGTTCCTGGTGGTGTCAGAAGTGATCTGTGGCAGATCACCATGAGTGAGGACCTGTTCCTGGGTGGCCAAAGTAGGGAGAATACCTATCCCATAGTTATCAAGAAAACTAAGTGCTGGTATGGAGTATAGTTTTACTCTGACACACATGGGGTTGCCATGAGTTGGAAGAGATTCGACAGCAACAGGGTTGGTGTCATTTTGGTGTATGTATAAGGGCCTGCTACATATTAATGTTCAGTATCATGAAAGCACATCCACCAGCAAATGTCTTACATACTGGACTCCCAACAATCCTGTTGCAATTTAATTTCTAAAACTTACTGCAAATTTAAACATGACAGTCAACTACCTGTACACAGACAAATGCCTTCCTACGAAAAACAATCCTTTTAATTCTATCACAATAGATCCGAGGTTTTGGATAAAAAACCAAACCAAATTCACTGCTTCAATTGCAACGCACAGCAACCCTTCCTTGGGTTTCCAAGGTGGCATTTCTACAGAAGTAGATTGCCCAATCTTCCTTCCGAGGAGTTGCTGGTGGGTTTAAACCGCCAGTCTTCTGGTTAGCAGTCAAATGCTGTAGGCACTATGCCACCTGGTTTTGGATAGAACATACATAAAATCCCAAAAGTTGAGAATCTCTCAAGTGGCCTGATGCTCTCTTAGGGATAAAAATTGAGTCCAGTGTTTACGTGATGGTGACAGGATGCCTGAGGCAGACAACTGTTCTCACAGCATCCTCCACTGAGGGTGCAGGGAGGTTAGGGGACTGCAGATCGCCTCCACAGCAGGGCAAGGGCCAACCCAGAGGCACTGGGTGGGCAAGAGCCCACAGGAATGACACCCAAGATGGCCCACTGCCTTTCATGTCGTGTTTGTCAGGCTCAGACACCTCTGCATTCTCTAACCTCTCTAGTGTTTGTAATAAGCTGTCTCCCTCTACCCTCGCTATCTTACCTTGGGCGACCTTTTTTTTTTATTATTAGGATTTGGGTGAAGATTTACAGAGTAAATTCACTTTTCATACAGCAGTTCACATATACTTTGTCTCATGTCATTGACCAAAATTTACAATGCAGCATCTCCCCTCCCACTTCCTCCCCATAGTTACCTCCTCCCAGTGTCCATCCCTTCATACTCTTCTGCACCCTGAGCTATCTCCCTGTGCATAAGCAGCCCTTCCTTCTCCCATGATTGTTCTCTCCAGGGCGTGTGTCTACTTGAGGTAAATGTTTAACTCACATGCCTGTACTTTGTTTGGCTGGAAACCACAGTTGTGGGTTCAATTCCAGACCTGAAGGGCAGCTAGGGGCCATAGTCTCAGTGGTTACACCAGGCTCTATTGGACCAGCAAACCTGGTCCCCACCTTCTTCTTTTTTTTTTTTTTTTTCCCTCCAAATGATTTTGAGTTTTGTTCCACATTGTTCTCCCTCTCTATGCAGGATCTCCTACATCCCTTCCAAGTGGATGGCAGTGGTAGCTGGGCACCATCTAGTTCTTCTGGTCTCATAGTTGTATAGGTTGCAGATCGGATGGTGTACCAGTCACTAGGACTGATTGTTTCCATTAATTTTGGTTTTCTTCTTTCTTCTTGACGAGGAGAGACCCATTGTTGCATCTAGATGGCAGCTTCCTAGCTTTTAAGGTCCCAGTCGCTACTCGCCAAAGTAGTAGGTAGAACAATGTTTTGTATAGTATGTTATGCCAATTGAGCTTGATGTCCCCTGTGACTATGGTCCCAAGCCCGCAGGATCAACTACTTGGTCCCTCTGGGTAGCCGGCTGTGACCAAGCAATGATCATAACCTTGCCCCTTGTCAGCTCTACTATACACCTGGGAATTCTGATCATTCACATGAACTTATAGGCCCATTGTCTGCCAACCCTATATATGATCTTGGATACACTCTCCATTTAGACATACCTAATTGTTTAGCTTGTTCACCTATCTATCCGTCCATATACCCATGTTTGCTTTCACTGACAACTCAGTACTGTATATGCAAAAGGGTTCATATTTATTGTCTGTACTGCCTTGGGTGACCTTTGATTCATGGAAAAATACTCTGTTCTCTGCTCAACAATTTATTTTAAAAAACTAAGTGCATGGTAGGATGAGAGGAGGTGCTCTGATTGTATTTGATAGGTTGGCCTGGGAAGTCCCACAGACACTGCCCTCCCCCACACCCCACCCTGTTCTTTTAGGCCCCAGCTGATGACTATTAGCCAGCAAATCCTAAAACCTCTCCTTTTCTTCCAGACCTTTAAGACAAGGTATAATATCAGTCTCATTTACCAAAGATATTTTTAAAGGGCACCCTCCTTTCTTTAGTCTCTAGGTGATACAAACAGTTAATGTGCTAAGCTACTAACCAAAAGGTTAGAAGGTTGAGTCCACACAGAGGCATCTCAGAAGAAAGGCCTGGTGATCTACTTCTGAATAATCAGCCACTGAAAACTTTATGGACCTCCATGACCCTGAGACCAGAAGTAGTACATGGTACCCAGTTACCACTGCCAATCGCTCTGAAAGGGATCACAGTAGGAGGTCTTGGATAGAGTAGGGGGAAAATGTGGAACTAAATTGAAAATGATTTAAAGAAAAAAAAGATCAGGCTTATTGAATTGATAGAAACTGGTAGAACCCCTGAGACCATGGCTCTTAGTCACCTTTCAAGTTTGGAACTGATCTCACCCTTCATGGCTCAACTTTCAGCCAAACAGCAGATGAGCCTACATGGTGAATGATAATGCCGGGGAGGTATGCACTCCTTACACCAATCAACCATACGAGAGCAAAAGGGCAGCAGTGCCCAGGGTAAAGCTCAGAAAGGGGGAGGGATAGGAAAGAAGGCCAAATAGAAACAAGAAAACACAGGGAGGAAGTAAGAAGAGTGCTGCTACATTTGGGGGGATTGTAATCAATGTCGCAAATCAAAATGTGTAATGAATTGTTGAATGGAAAAACAATTTGTTCTATAAAATTTCAACCAAACCACAAAAAGTTTTTAAAAAAATTTAAAAAAAGAGACAAAGTGGTAGGTTCGCTGTAAGGAGCTGTCAAGGGATAAAAATAGATGTGCCTAGAGAAGCGGATTTAAAAGAAGTTTCTCATCAAATCATCTTTTTTCATACCATCGGATATGTATCTTGATTTACCATGGCAGTAGCAGCAATAAGATGGGTGATATCAAACAGAACTTTCTTGAAACATTTATTTCCAATTCAAAATGGAGTTTTATATTGTGTTTGTCATAAATCTACATATTCTTCTCTTCCAGATAACTATAATTGCAAGGTTGAGCTTGCTCTGACATAGGATGGCAGGACCATAGTATGCTACCATCCTTCTGTGCACATTCCATATGAACACACAAAACCTATCCCTCATCCAGATCCAGTGCATAACAATGAGGAAACACAAGATCAAGTGCTGAAAACCAGATTAGAAGTGAGAGATGAACCCCTTGAGCAAGGACCCATGATAGAAATGTTCTTTACTACTAAACACCGTTGGTATCCTCATGGACTGTATCACAGACGTCATAAGACATTGAATCCTCCAAAAGACAGATGCTTTCAAGGTTATTAGGAATCAAAGAGAAATGTTATCCTTTGCCTCATCTATCTCTTGACAGAAGTCTGGGGTATTCACTACTATGCTAAACAATAAAATAAAAAAAATACGTTTTAAAAAATAATAATAATAATTAATTTTTAAAAAATACCCAGTGGAGCACAGTCCTACTCTGACTTACATGGGGTCATCAAGAGTTTGAGTCAACTCAATGGCAACTGGTTTAACAAAAAGAGTACTTCCCCAGAGAGATGACACGGTGTTATTTCTGTGCTACAGGGCTATGAAGACAGCCACACTTGGACTGGAATGCTATGTCACCTCCACATCCCTGCCAGGTGGCAATAAGCAAGTGACTTCATCTCTGAACTGTCTTCTATCTGTAAACTGGGGTAATCTCACCACCCCCCAAACTCATTAAGTTTTAATACAATGGTCCCTACAACACCTTCTGCCATACCCTGAACACCCTATCACACTTTGATTAAAGGCTTGCATTTTGTGGTTAAAGCATATTGCTTCATGGGTGACAAAGATACTATTTTCACACTGAGTTCACTTGCCCTCACTTTTAGCAGGGGCTGGCGCGTCACAGAGGGCTGGATTTTCTCTGGGATTACCTGCAGCCCCCGCTGTGAGGTCGATGGCAGCTTGGATAGCAGGATTGGACTTCATGTTTCTACACACGTGTCTGTTGGTCTCTGTAGAAGGCAATCTCTGGCATTTATGACGGTCTTCTCATATCCCTGGCCAAAACCAAAAAAAAAAAAAAAAAAAAAGGGAGTTTTGGTGGCATAGTGACTAAGGCATTTGACTGACTGCTAACCAGAAGGCTACAGGTTCAAACCCACCAGCCACTCCTCAGAAGGAAGACTGCTCAATCGTCAGTCAGGCCTTCCATTCTCCAAGGCTGCCACTACATCCCTGGCTCCTGAACCCTGAGAGCAGGAAAGCCAGGTCTTCATCACTGCATAGGAAGAGGGCAGTGAAGAGCTCAACCTCCCTTCTCCCGAATCACCACTTTCCCATAAAAGACTCAGATCAAAAACCTTCCCTAAATGTCAATGTCAGAGCCACAGGCAGGACTGGAACCAATCTTTTTGAAAATATTAGTAACAAATGCCAAATAAGCAAGCCAACCAGAGAGAGCCCAAGCCATATCAAACTAGCTTTTCAGAGGCTTATGTTGGAATATCCATCCACAAGGCTCAGTTCTCCATGAGATAGCAGCCCATGCTGGGTGCCTGGGGGCAGGAGGTGTCACAAAACAGGAGGTCTGGAAAGAAGTTGTCCTTGGGTCTGAACGCCTGCCCCACCATCAGCAAGATGGCTCCTGGGGTCCCTAAAACAGGGAGTCCTCATCTGTACAAGGTAAATCATAAAAACATTGTAATTATACTGTGGGGCAATCACAATCTCACCAAGTTGTTGTGACCTATGAACATGCGCATAAAGCACACAGCACAAGGCCCAGCAAAGAGTAACAAATGTTAGCTATTGTCACCATAGTCCAGTCCAGCACTTCTCAAGCTTAAATGTGCATAGGAATCACCTAGGGATTTGGCTAAAATGCAGATTCTGATCCGATAGGCCTAGGAAGTAACATGAGGGGTACCAGAGAGTCTGCATGTCTAACAAGCTCCCAAGTGAAGCTAGGCCACACTCTAAAAAGCAACATCTGGTTCACTGTGTCCTAAATTTGCTCAAGAAGAATCACCTGAGGAGTGAGAAGAGGCATGTTAAATATCCAAACTAGCAGGCCTCTTTGCTACAAATCTTGATTCAGTAAGCCTAGGCCTAGGAAGTTTGTGAAACCAGAGTCTACTCCTCTACTTTCAGATCAAAATCAATTATTTGTGAGGCATGTACCTAAAAATATTGATCTGGAAAAAAAAAGGTGGTTCAATAACACAGATTAAAATAATCAGTTTGGCAACAAATTGGATATGTTTTTAAACTATAACAATGACTCATCTGTGATTAGTAAGACATGGCATGTATTCCTAATAAAAGGCTTTCAGTCTCATCCCCCAGACCAACTCCCAGAGGAGGGGGGCAGTGGAATGGAGATGAGCCCCAAGGTCCTTTCTAACCCCAGTATCATAATAAACGGCAGCAGAAAATAATTTTAGGCACCAATAAACTTAACCACTTGAAGCATTCTGGCAAGGACAATTCCAAGAATCATCTTTTCTTTACAGAAAAGGTTTTGAAGCCAGCAACAAAAGCATAGTACAGTACTTAAACTAAAAAGACACTGATTTTATATTATTGATAAGCCTCGAGAGGTAGTACCAATTATTAAATTAAGTGGTGGCCATCCAGCATTTACTTAGAAAAGGATATTACAACCTTAATCCACCTGAGGGACAGAGGCAGCCTGTCTTGTCCAAGGTCTCACAACTAGTCAGTAACAGTGAAGAGTTAACTCTTTTCTTTCATATCTATTTCTACCAAGCAACATTCAAAGATTAATTGAATGTTGTTGTTGTTGTTAAGTGCCGTCGAGTCGTTTCCGACTCATAGCGACCCCATGCACAGAAGATTAATTGAATATTTATTAGATATTCAATATGCAAAGATTATTCCAACCTGGCCCACAACAAAATACCCAATCCTACATTTTAGAGAAAAACTGAGGCCACTGGGGAGGCAAGTCACAGGGCACATGGAGAAACATCAATGCATTCATTCCTTTTGATTTTGAAACTTCTCTCAGAATGAAAGGTAGACAGGCATTATTACACTGTACTGTATCATCAATGTGAATTTAAACCCTTTAGGAAAGCCAAACAATTAAATTCTACAATTATTTGTAGAACTATGAGGCTAGAAAAATGATGGGGTATAGCAGATTAACCCAAGTGTGGGTAAATGATTCAAATTATGTGTAGCCAAGGACTAGAGAAGGCTCGAGGCCAGGAGACAAGCATCATCAGCAAGATTTAAAATTTATAAACTTTATCACTTGGAATGGAAAAGCGGAATCTTTTGCCTCTTTTTCAAACTATGCCACGGTCCAACTTCAGGAGAGAGAAACAATGGCGCCAACCATACATCTTTTTTGCTTCCCCGGAGAAAATTATTTTCTTGGGTAGGAGAATCAGATGAGGCCACATTTTCCACCAGGGGATACAAATTTCTTCAGGAAGATTCTACCTCAGACTACAGCTGGTGCTGTAGGAGGCCGCACGGACGCACGCCCACCGAGTTACTAGAGCTAGGCAGGCTCTGGGATGCCTCGGTTTCCCCATCCGCACAACGAACAGGTTTAGATAGGTTACTTCCAACTTTCTCTACCCAGCTCTAAACGTTCCGGGCCTCTGCCAGCGGCGTGGAGGAGGCTCCATTCATAAGCGCCGCCGGCCTCCCCAGCGCTCGAGCACAGAAGCGCAAAGGCCAGATGGCACTCCTCAGAAGCAAAGGGCAGCACCATTTTCCGGCAGGTGACCACTGAGAGAATAAAGCAGAGCCCCCAGCCGGGCAGCCCCGATGCGCGGGCGGAGGCGCCCGCAGGTCCGGCGGCACGAGTGGGCTGGGCGGCCCGCGGATGTCGGCCTTGGCCGCTCGCGGGCCCCTTCCCGGGTGCCGAGGAAGGTCATGCTGCCCAGGGTAGAGGGCCTCTCCTTCACCGTACCCTCCCGGCGGGCTCCCCGTGCGGCCCGCAGGCGCCAGGCCGGGCTGCCTCACCGCCGCGTCCTGCTCGGGCTCCGCCGCCTCTTCTGTGTGCTCGCTTAACACACACACACACACACACCGGCCGAAGCCGGCCCTCTGCCCCGCCCTGCCCTCCCCGCAAGTTGAATAACCCTCGGAGGCCCTGCGCGCAGCTCAGGAGCGCGCCTGGCGGCCTGAGGAATGCGCTGCGGTGGCCACTGAGGTGCGGGGTCCCGAGCTGGCCGCCCGCCGGGCACCGCCATCCCACGCCCGCCCGCTCGGCAACCCTAAGAAGCGGGAGTGGCGCGAGGTATGCGGGTGCTGCCTTACGCCGCCTGGAGCTGGCAGCGCGGTGAGGGCGAGAGGAGATGAGCCTCCCAGGGCTTTCCTTCTCCAGATTACAAGAGGCCCTCTCTGCTGCCAGACTCTAGCTAGACCTAATGGCTGAGGGCGGGGCAGTGTCAGTAATTGGGAGGACTTAGTGAAGTCCTCGGAAGGAAGGTTGGGCAATCCTACTTCCGTAGTGATACTGCCTCGGAAACCCAAGGAGGGGTCGCTATGAGTCGGGGGTCGACTCGACGGCACATAACAACATAACAACAGTGAAGTCCTAGTTAACCTTTAGGCTGGTTTACTTTGCTAGGACTCGGGGCCAAGGCTTTATTTTAAATTATAATTAAGTACGAAAGTAATGGAATGGTAGCGATGAAAGATAAACTTGCTTATTGTTGGTAAAAAAAATAATTTATAACCTCCCTGCCCCATCGAATTCCAGCCCACTGATGACCCTGAGGAAAATACACCAAGAAAATGGCAGAGTTTTCTGAAGAAAAGGTAACTGAGTCAACTTCTCAGATATTTAATTCATAAAGAATTGGAGAGTATATCTATGGCTTCTTAGTGTTTTGTTAAGTTTAAAATAGTCAAGGAATCTGTTATATTCCAAGAGTAACAATTTTCTGTGGTACTGTTAACCCAAAAAATGCAGGGTTCAGGCGTGGAGCAGGGCAGCCAATCTTCCACACCAGAATTCAAGAAGAGAGTTTAATTAGGAGGTGCACCAAAGAGAGACAGACGGGGTCTCAGTGACTGCAAAAAAACAAAAACTCTGCTCAATGCTTACAATCAGGGAAGACAAATCACATAAGGCAGGATTAGTTAACAGTTTTCCAACAGTTAGATAGGACAATGGGTAATTAAGAAAGGAATGTTTCCTGTGAGTCCTCTGAAGTCAGGTAGTCTGTTAGAGGCTTGGTGGGTGTTTGTCAAAGCCCAGATGGTGGTGGTGGTGGTGGTGGTGGTACGTGCTGTTGAATTGATTCAGACTCATAGTAACCCTGTGTACAACTGAATGAAGCACTGCCCGGTCCTACACCATCATTACAATCCTTACTATGCTTGAGCCCATTGTAGAAGTCACTGTGTCAGTCCATCTTGTTGAGGGTCTTCCTCTTCATGGCTTTACCAAGCATGATACCCTTCTCCAAGGAATGGCCCCTTCAAACATGACCAAAGTAGGTGAGACAAAGTCTGGCCATTTTCACTTCTAAGGAGCATTCTGGCTGCACTTCTTCCAGGGCAGATTTGTTCGTTCATCTGGCAGTCTGTAGTATTTTCAGTATTCTTTGCAAACGCCACAATTCAAAGCTATCAACTCTTCTGTCTTCCTTATTCATTGTCCAGCTTTCACATGCATATGAGGCAACTGAAAATACCATGCATGGCTTGGATCAGGTGAACCGTAATCCTCAAAATGACATCTTTGCTTTAAAGAGGTCTTTTGCAGCACATGTTCACAGTGCAATATGATGTCTGATTTCTTGACTGCTGCTTCTATGGATGTTGACTGTGGATCCAAAGCCCAAGTGGCTAGTCCTAAAGTCCCACCCAGGAGATTTTATTGGCATAGATGGCTCTGCCTGAGATCACAGGATGCAGCAGGAACTGTTAACTGTAACTTAGATAGAGAACAACTTAATTATAACACAAGGTTAAAGCCAGGTTTTAAAGAAATGGCATCTTAACTAAAAATATGGAGTTCAGGCCTAACAAAGCAAAAATCTTTATCCTCACACTGCCATATGGCAGAG